GCCTAGAGTCATCTAAGAAGAAATCCTTGTTGAGGTACTATCTAGATCAGAATGAACTGTTCCCTTGTCTGTGAAGGGGTGTCTTGCTTGTTAGTTGATTAAACAGGGTCAAGCCCACTATAGGTCATACCATCCTTATGCAGATATGCTGGGATGCATAAGAAAGCAAACAAAGAATGAGCCAGCAAGCAATTTCCTGTCCTTTACTTCATTCAGTGACAGAATGTGACCTGTAATCGTAAGCCAAATAAGCCAATTAACCCTTTTCTTCCTTAAATTGTTTATAGTCAAAGCGTTTTATCACAGTAACAGAAAGGCTACTAGAACAGCCCATACAGCTGGTCATAACCACGTGGATCAGTAACTCTAGGGAAATAGAGAGATAGCTACTATGGCCAACTGGTCAGTTCTGAGTTCAAGAAAGAATGTGACGATCAATGGTGGAAGACACCTGATGTCTTCATATAACCTCCATGTTCAGGCACACACATGCACATACACCTACATGCACAAGCAAAAAAAAATACGCACATGTAACACAGACACACAAAAAAACCAACCTTTAAAAGTTTACAAATGTGTGAATTTTCGGTGACTGTTTTCATGCTACCTGTTCTTAAGGAAGTACAAACGGCAGGTCTGTGGGACATGAACCATTTCCTCTTTCATGTCTGCTCTCTACTCCCCCATTCCTGCATTTTATCAGTCTCTGTCACTTGTCCTTTAGGGTTTTCATGGCCCTAAGTTCTCATCACCCAAAATTCTTAAGCCCAAACCCACAAAAAAAGTTGATGCAGCTTATCATCAGGCCTGACTTTTATCAAGCTTTCTGCTCTGTACAGACCATCCTGAGTGTTGCTCGCCTCTTATGAATTTACTGAATGGGAGCCTCACATCATAGTTGTCATCGTACTATCACAGTTTCAGAGCAAACTGTAACGCTAGTCTTAGGGATAAGGATCCCACACTTAGGATATATTACAGAGGTCAAAGAATGAAGAATTCACATTCCCATCTTGGTGATACTACATAGTCTAGAGCCAGATGGCCAGAGGTGCAGGGTAAATAATGTTGAATATCTTCATATGACTGACTGAATAAAACAAGAGTGGAATGTCTCAACTCTCTTTCAGGAAATGACATAGTGGGAATCAGGGGCTTCTAGGCATTTAAAGAAATAGATCCCCTCAGAAAGAATGAAAGTACTATATTTACTTCATCTAGCAGGCACTTGAACTCTAAAATGGGTAAGAAAGATGGTACTCATAAGCAGATGGCAGTCACACCGTCACTGGCAATTAATAAAGCATAACTCATCTATTTTACCAGAAAAAAAAATCTCCTGAAAAAAATGAGTCTTCTTATTTTCTAGAACATAATATGTAAGACACATCTTAATTCTAACTTCCTCTCAGTGGCAGTGACCCCCTCCTGCCCTCTACATTTTATAAATTATTGACAAAGCCTCAGGAAGACTCTATTGCACACCAGCTAATTGGGCCCTGTGGTCATTTCTCAACAGCCCAAAAAGTTGAATGGTTTCTGATGGAGGTCTCTGCTGAGGTGCTAGCCCCACATTCTGAGAGTTTGAACAAGTTGGTCTTTTTCTATTTGTTTTTAAGCACAAATCTACCAAGACTGGGACTTGGCAAAGAATGACAAGGTTGACAGATTTGCTTGCTAAGGAAAAAAAAATGAGACTCAGAGTTGGCATTTCATATGCAATTGAATTTGAAATGTATATATAAGAGCAAAAATAGACATTAGCTAATTTTTAGACTAGAGTTAAATGAGCATTCTATATACAAAATTAATCTGTTAAGAGGAAACTTGTAAGAGTGGAAATGTCAAACTAAAATATCATCATTATCAGACAGTGTCTTGTTACATATGTTGTAGTTTTAAACTGACATTAGACTTTTAAACATTTGAGAAGCCTTCCTTCTGTCTGTATAGAAAAAAAAAAGAAGGAGAAGAAAACCTGTTTTCTCTGAACTGATTGCATATAAAAGATAAGGCTGTGGCTTGTTTTGGGTCAGCTAATGGAACATTTGGAAGTCCCCTTTGGAGGTCTGTATTGGATGAGACCTGTGATATCAGAAGCTATTTTATCAACTTGCTTCTGTTTTCACACTGCACTGTGACCAAAAAGCACTGGTTACAGTGAACCTCATGAGACTGAGGTGCTAGTTCTTTGCACGATTTGCACAATGGAGGCAAATCTAAACAGGTGGACACCACACACTTGAATCAATCTAATAATCACAAAGGAACTTTTGAAGTATACATAGGCATTTTTTTCTACACAGGCTAAGAAATAAACAAATGGATAAAACAGGGATTCTATTACTTTGCAATTGTCAAGTTTCTATCCATCTGTGGTACACGTATGTGTGTCTGCCTATACACGTGGCATGTGTATATGTGAGTGTACATAAAAAGGTAAATAGATATAGCCATCTATTTTTCTGTTTCTCTACACAAAATTTTCTTTTAAAAATACCACTAGGGGCTGAGGAGATGGCTCAACTGGTAAGAGTACTTGCTGAGTAAGCATGAGAAGCTAATTTCCTGCATCAGTGTAAACAATGGCCATTACATGTGGGCCTGTGACCTCAGCATTGAGTGGCAGGGAGAAAAGGGGATCATTGGAGCTCATGGTCTGCTGCATTATACGAAAACCTGCAAGCCCCCAGTTCAGTAGGAGACCATGACTCAAGGGAGTAAGGTGAGACACAGTAGAGGAAGACACCTGATTACCTCTTACACACATGTTCTCTCTCTCTCTCTCTCTCTCTCTCTCTCTCTCTCTCTCTCTCTCT